GTTCCACTCCCGCGAGCGGGGTCGTGGGTACCAATTACCGAGGAGTCCCACAACAGGAGGAAACGGCAGTCCAATGCTTCCAGGTTTTCACTGGTGGTCTAACATAAACCGGTTCATGATCTTGATTAATTTGTGTTGTATGAATGAAATAGTTTTTATTTCTTGAAATAATAACAAACGTATTGTCAAAAATTATTTACTCACTAGTAAGTAACCTTTTCAGCCATGCTAAGCCATAATAAATGAGTAGAATCACTGAAGAATATAATCATTGGAAGTCTCGTATGGTGATTCTGATCAGTAAGGAAATTCTCGTGTAAAAGATTAATCAAGTAGAAATTACATGATTATTACAAGTTATCATTAGATTATGATAAGTATAATTTCGATATTTTATACACTATGGTGATATTAATAAAACGCTGACTATAAATGAATACAAATTTAATTGATTGGGTTTTTTTATGTATTAAGTAGTCATAATTATTGTGGTTTATTAAATCAATAATATAATGTCATTGTGGACACAATAAATGAGGAGAATTTTCCATTATTTATGAGTTAAAATTTAGTTGAGATTAATTTTACTCAATATGCCGATTCAAGTCTATGAATATTGCATGAAGCCTTTCATAATGATTCATTTCTTCATAATACATGGAACACAGATTAGATTATCTTATAGTAGAATAAGGGTTAATCTAGCTCATGAACTGCTTAGCGTTTTTTAGCGAGTTAGTTTTCTACGGGATGGGGTCGCTAACCTCAATGCCCGCCCCTCCTCCTGTATCCGGACTTGGGATCAGCAGTAGCCCCAGAGGGGCCTTAGGCGGAGTTGGCCAATGAATCAGCAGGAATTAAATAACGTTAATGTCTGAGTAATATATTCTGTTCATCAACTGATTTAATCTTGATCAGAAGATTGCTTACTTTTTCAAACAAAAAAACGAACTTATAGAAATCTGAATAAGGCTATTAATTTTCCAGCATCCATGAGTAAGATTTAATTATATATACATGGTGAAATCAAGATATTATTACATTATTTGTATGTTACAGTTGCAAAGTGTTCTTCCACATTCAAATATGATATCATTCAAACTTTCAGTAAAGTAAACTTCATCTCCATCAGAAATCTACAAGTATAAAATGCTGAGAAGTATACCTTGTAAAATATTTCAACTAATCTGTTAAATCAGCAAATTCAACCTTGGTGTTCTGTTTACTACGGTGTTCACCATCTATCAATCTTGACAGGACAGACGCTCGAAATGAAAGGTAGATCGTTGAAAACCATAAGTTTCCCTTTCTATATGAATTACTCGAAGGCGAAATCCGAGTGATATATTTGGCAATGAAGGCATGGTATCATAAAAACGTACAATCACCAGTCTTACAAATTTATTTGTCAGTATATATATCTGATATATTGCACATTTGAGAATAAAACCACTTGGTAAATCGATGGAAAGACTCAAGCGAAGTCTCATTAAATTAGTGAACATATTAACATACGTCTGTAATCCAGCAGATCTTTGAACATTGCCAGATGTACCACAGGTAGATAATTGATGTTTGTCATAGTAAATACTTAGGATCAGACCCTATAATTTAAAATTTTACATGATTGAGAAAATTTTTAATCTTCTATTATCGAAATACGAAAGAACTCGGGTAGTTTATATCCATACCAACACCAATCTTCACCATTTTAAACTGTAAGTAGAGATATGTAGAACGGCTCAACTTCAACATTCCTCATTAACATTGCCACAAGAAGTGTTCTATAAACAGTCGTCATCCGAATACATTTAAGTCCTGTAAACGTACAAAGATTTATTAAACCTCATTATACAATTAATATCTTTCCATCATTTTGTGATACAAAGACTACCAAATTTTTAACTTAATTTAGCCTTTTTAATCCATGAAAGGCGAAAACTTATATATATTATTGGAAATAAGTAGACATGATGGTGGCCAGCAGTGAAATCCAGGATGCGTGTTTCCTCACATTTGAAACTCGTCTGCTGGATATACTTGCATCCCATAGTTTATGTTCACCCCAGGACTTAAACCAAGTAACGTTCGCGTCAAACGCCAATGCGTTATCCACTTAGCTACTGAGTCCGGTTAGTCATTAACTTGTGTTTATAATGCTTATGACCTAAAACAACATCGAGGTAGTCTTCACATGATGCACATATACTAATAAGAAACTGATCAGTTGCAGTCCTAAACATCAATAGTAAGATTCAAATAACCAATACAAAACCTATTATTGGAAATGTTTGTTCATTACAGATAACCATTATTGTTCGCTTTTCTCTATTGATTGTTTGATGTTATCACGAATATAGTTATACAATTTTGCATAATTCATCTCTCAAATTAAAAAAAAATATGCTTAAACATCATAAATATTCACTCTAAAATAAAGATATTTTATAAAAAGAAACATCAGTTAAAGAGATATCAGTTCAAAACACACAATCAGAAATGAGATTATCAAATCAACTACATGCACATGACCTGTATAAAGTTCTAGTTAACTTCTAATGAAGCAAAATGGATTCATGTAGTTGAAAACATTGTATTCCATGTAATAAAATTGTGAATGATGAATTAAGAGAAGAGTTATAATGAGAAAAAGTGAATTTATCATGAATTATCTGGCTAAATAATCTGTTTATCATGAACAATGTCTATGCAATTTTATCCTTATAGAGATTGACTTAAGCAACTGGAATCCCAAAATAGAACTTCCTTCATCTCCTATGTTGAATAATAATAATAATAATAATAATAATAATAATAATAATAATAATAATACCAGCTTTGTTCAATACCATATACTCAGTTACAGTAAAGAATTCCCATTACAATGAAGATGCCACAGGTATTCGGAGTTTGACAACGCTTTAACCAGTAACACCTAATATGAAGCGTACCCACCAAGTGAAATCAAAAGACAGAAGCGAGGAGGTTCGAATATATATTTGATAAGCTATCAATATATCGAGGATCGTCTGAACTAATCTGACTAGCGATTGCGGTAGATGTTGAGCACGGCGTTTCCACACGTGATCTGGTGTGGATGCTTGACCGAGCGCCTTCAGCTAGATGAGTCTATTAAAACTATGGTCAGCATCCAATGTCAAAAACTTACAGAGCTATTAATTTTGGGGATTTATTTACCGCTACAACAAGATATGCGAAATTGCAACGAATATTCCAGTTTATAATCATTTAAATTTTAAATCTAAAAATTATGCGTAAAGACTTTTAAATATTGACAAGCTATTATTCGTATTTATCCGTAACTGTTTACTATCTGTCCTGTTTTCATGACTTGATGTGCGAATCCTATAATCATTACCTCTTGTGTCTTCAAAGGAATGAGGTGTATGAAACCACTAATTAGATTTACATTAAGATGTATACGTTTCCACTTACCTTAGAAACTATTTTTAGTAGTTGACGTACATATCTTATCTACGTTGCAGAGTTGTAACTGAATTGTTTAAACATTAGCTTATCGATGATTCGACTACAAACTTATGATACATTTTAACCCATAAATGTTACCTCAACAATTTAAAAAAGAATCTGTACATGATAATCTTGATAGGAAAAATAATTGATCACCCCCCCTCCAAAAAAACGATTGACTGAATTGGCTACAAGCTCTTGATATCCTTTTCAAGACTTCTTTTAAATCATAAACTGTACATTAAATTATCAGTAAAGTTTTGACTACTCTCTTACAATTACAACTGAACATAACTTACTTTATCTAATGGAACTCAAATTCTGAACAATGCAGTGTAATCAGTCTACTTCCTTTCTTTCTACATTGTTATTTAGCTTAATATATTTTTGCATTATTAGTCAATTATTATGTTTTATCAAAAAGAAAAAGATGGTACTCCAAAAATTATATATATATATATATATATATATATATATATATATATATATATATCTTGTATACGATAGAAAGAATGGACAGAAATTTCGAACTAGCAGTAATAATCTTATGACATTAACATTTCACACTGACATGACCTTTCAGCAAAATAACATTGAAAGTTCATAAAATCTGGTCCATACATTTTGAGCTTGCAAACTATTCATATTTAAAATTACATACACCAATAATCTGAGTGAGTTTGGCTGAGCACATAAACACACAGCCATAGTGGTGGTGGTCGCGATGATGGGAATATACATTTTACAGTCTGTACTTCTCCCCCTGATGTCTAATTTAACCGTGACATTTTTCTCATCTCACTATGTCAATCCAGCAAACGTTTGGTCAGAGTCATTGTATGGCAAAACAAATCACATGTATGCATGCAGAGTGAGTTAATCTACAAAATTCAGGTAAGGGGACGTGCTTTCATCCCATTTTCATTCTGTTACTCCACCCTATATTATATTACTGCTCCAATCGATATATATATATATATATATATATATATTTATATATACATATATATATTGTATTCTACACACATCGCTCACTACCATACCTTGTAAGTTAGCTAACTCAAGGGTTGGGACATAAACAAACATACACAATGCACATGTACATAGCTTGCCTTAAAAACATGCATTTATACACAAATTAAACATGAGTTCAAACATACTCTTATTAGGCACTTTCTCGAATATATTTGTGACTGTCCGTACTACAATGTGCTAAACTTCATTCGGACTTATCGTAATCCATGGGACAACAGTATTTCATTGGATAAAAACTCAAACTATTAAATAAATTTTTAAAAATTCCTCTCTTTGTATATTCACTTACATTACTTGTAAATAAGTAATTTTGTGAGTACATGGTTATGGTAGTTGTAGTTGTAACGGAAAACTAACAACCTGGACGAACGGGACAAGCAGAAAAAGAAAAATCAAAATATTTTTCCTAACCCATTACAAAAAATTATCAACTAATAATTCGTTAAACTATACAACTTTATAATCAGTTTAATATGAATGAACAACAAACATTTCCCATAACTACTACGATTCCTGGTGTCACTACTGGCGATGGAGATACTACTGTAATTGATACAATGAATATGAATAATAGTTATTCACCGAATACTCCATCCAAAATTGAATTACTTTCAAATATTACTGATAAAGAAATAAAAATTGAACATGAATTAGACAATAACAATGACTATAGTTTTCAAGATGATGAGCAATATCATCGTCATATACAAGATATGATGATTGATCAAAATGACGGTGACAATGTAACTGAAGATACAGATGATCAAGAATATCAAGATGACATTAATCAATCCAATAAAATGGATACATTCAATTTTAATTTCTCTCTTTCTAATCCAAATGACTCTGATGATTCATTAAAACAATTAACAAACGTAAACAAAGATACTGGTAAACCAATTTATACAAAGTCCAATAATAATGACGATAAAAGACCAAGAAAATTTATATGTCGTTATTGCAATAAAGCATTTAGTTTAATGAATGTTCTTAAAGTTCATGAAAGGATACATACTGGAGAAAAACCATATGTTTGTGAAATATGCAATAAAGCATTTAATCAAAGTGGTATGCTATGAGTATATTTTTATTATATATATGTTTAATGACTAAGTTAACTAATATTCAATCAAAGCTTTGCAACTAAATTAATAGAAATAGTAGTTTAATCTTTATTAATAACATTTTGTATGATAATGTACTTGACTTTCAACAATACTTTAGTTATATAATAGTTATTAATATCATTTGGCTGCTCAAATCGAATTATATGAAACTGAGTTCGAGTCTGTTAATTATTCGTTAGAGTTGAAATTGGAAAGATTTAAATAATAAATCACTATCTAACTTTGCAATATGATATCCTATGTAAAGAAACAATATTACTTATCAATATCATTTATGTTCTATAAATATGTAAAAGTAATCGTTTCTCTATATTTACTAGTTTTTAAATGCCTCAAAATGTCAACTTCATTTCAAAGTATAATTAAGCGGTTATATTATATTTAATTTAATGAATTGAGTGAATATGAAACCTATCTATAAATGATATTAATGTGTGTTTGCATTTGTGTGTTTGGAGTATATAAAAAATATTGTGCAATGAAATTTAAGATCAACAGTGACCTGTACTGAAATCTAGTAAACCCATTTTAGCTAATTTGTTCTATAGATGAACCAACATTAATTGAAATTCGGATTAGACACCTATAGCTGCAAGTAATAGAGTGTTATCTACTTATGTTCTATAGGAACCGCAAGTTAAGATCAATACGTTAATCTGTATTCAATTATGATGCCTTAGTCAATATAATTTTATACTGGACAGACGATCGAAAATATATCAATTCTCATTTTCTGATTCTAAAAAATGGATTATACTTTACCACTCATTTTCACTTATTTACCAAGTGTGTATTTGTGTACTTGGCTTTGAGCTACACTTTAAGTGTAAGTTCTAATAATACCATCCGGCTGATAGAGAGAGGTTTCAAACCTATCACTTATTGGTTGAAGGTTAATTGGCTTAACCACTAAACAGATAAGAAAAATTGATCTTATAAATACACCTACCTAACTGTTCGTCGTAAAATTGCACACATTACTTATGTTTTATACACTATCTATCTATAAACAGATCTGATGTAGCACATGACATAAAATATCCTGATTTCAAGATTAACAAATCTAAAACATGTAGTTCTTATGTAAACGATACTCCCCATGCATCCTAATATTAATTCCCATGAGTTCAATAAAAATTGAGATGACGTTCAGAGCTTATTTCGGTCTTTTTTCTTAAAATCCTTAAGATATGCTTACAAAATATTTTTTATGATAAATAGGTTACTGATTTTTAAGGGTTGATAAATCACCATTATGTATGAATCGGAAAATGTGTTAGTTGCTAGGATCAACTAATAATACCCATAACTATCTAATTCGTGCTTTAGTAGTCATGTATGGACCAGTATTTAAGTCAGAGAGAACTGTAAGTACAATCGAAGGTGTGATGTATTTTGAATTCGTAATAAACGCGGAATAATGTACATTGTTGTATACAACATCCCTGCAAAAGTGACCACTGAACTTTATGAACATCACTAAGGACATATTTCATTTCATCAAGGGCGGTCTAGGATCTCTCATGAGTGTAAGCTACTGGACATTATATATCAGCATAGCAAGAGAGCAAATCAACGGGAATAGAATCATAAAATTGGAAATAATGATCTTAGTAATATCAAGCTAAACACAAGAGATGTAGTTTCAAAGGAACAAATGAAGTCAAAGAATCCAAGATATGATAGCTGAGTGTTACTAAGTCACTATAAATCCATTGAGCAACTTTACTCGATGATAAAGTACATTTAATAATCTTGAAGAAATGCGTTATCCAAAGGTTACAGAAATTATTCTCAGTTTCCGGTTAAATAACTTTAGCACCGAGATGTGCGTTTGATCGTTATTTTGAACTAACGTATAAGTATAACGAGTGAACATATTCATTTGACTAAGAAATCTAACCGAATTTCATAAATGACGTTTTACTGCTATACTGAAAATAGCTTATCAACTTGGAAAATTTACTGCAGTTTTTAGATATTAAAATCATTTCATTATAGAATAAGAAGCTTTAAGATAGATTTCCATGAAGGTCTTTCTAATATTACGGTTTGTTGAATTTGATTTCAAATACTCATTATAATTACTATGCAATAAATCTTTTATAAAAGTCTAACTATTTTCCATAAACGTTTTGAATTCACTCTTATTTCCCTGAAGAGAAAACACTACTTCTGAATATAATCTCATTAAATAAGCTGAATCCATTCCGTATATATATAACACAGATGTTAATTAGTTTAATTGAAGCAAATTCTTAGTTCGTAACTTGTTTTCTTTATAAGCATATTATCTTCCTACACTGACTACTTATACCATACTCTATTTGAGCTACACATGATGTCCGGCGCTTTAACCGGGCCGGCGAACACGGTGAGTCCACCTAGGGGAGTTGGAAAACCCCAATTCCAAACCAATGGCGCTCATGGGCTCCAGTATCTTAAAGGAACAAATGGCGTATGAACTAATTGTTGGTCACCGGCTACCATGAGACTGCATCTCTTCATGATGCTTCACTGCATTATAGGTCAAAGACTCGGGGTGTAGCCTCCTAAGATAACTACCTGCTTTTGTCTGGGCATCCGGGCAGTATCACAGCACACACACAAATAGAATTAAATGACGATATTTACTCTATTTGAGCTACACTGATGTTTGTATGGTGAAAATACGTAAACTGTCACTAGTATGGAGTAATTGTAAATAAGCATCCACGCGCGAGACTGAAGGTCATGAATTCGAACCCCACATGCGGGATGCGCGCCGCTGAGGAATTACATACTAGAAAGAAACAACCATCCAGTACTTTCAAGTTTTTAATGGTAGTCTAACATTGATCGGTTCACGTTCTCAACTGAAACTACTTATTCCACCTAGTTAGTACGTAACAAATCATGCATTGTAAATATGCCAGATAGCAACCTAAAATCGACCCATTTTAAAAGTTTCTTTGTTTGAATAGTAATTCCAAAGTATCCCTAAGACCTACAATCAGTCTTTTAAAAGTAACTACACCTAATTTTCATGACTTATAGATCAAATGACCACTGAGATTTGATTAAAATACCCTGATTAGTCATACAGAATATCCACTTTTTATTGCTGCTGTTTAAATGAACTAATCAAATTTTCGGTTAGATGTCTGTAGGTCATTCATTAACAAAAAAGTCACATAATCACTCACTATTTGGTCTTATGACATCAGCCTTTATTGCATATATAAGTATAACACTCATTGTTCTGTTTTTCTTTTAGCCTGTGTCTGTTAGTTGGTAGTTGGTCTTTTGAGTCATTTGGTCTCAAGGTCATTCACTCAACTGCAATGGTAATCTGTAAAGAAATTAATCAACACAAAACAAGAATAATTTTGCTAGACTGCATATGAAATCTGATCTCAAATTTGTTACATGTATTATGGTTTGAACGAATGAAATCCAGTGTCTCGGTAACATAAATGAGCATAGATTGAGAGTAGAATTTTAGTTTTAAGTCATAGTTAATATTAATAGTTGAAATGGATGATCATGGTGATATATTTCGATAGAGTAATTCCAAAAATATGCTGGGTTTTATGCTAATAATGTACATTTTTATAGACCAACTACCCACCATTTACCTCTCGATTGTTACGCAACCTTATTTTTGTCCTTTAAGTTGTTTACTACATCTTATATTTGTTGACAGTCTGAGAGGAGTCATAGGCATAAATATATAAGTAAGCGACATATACTTTAACATTCGAACCCTGGCTGCTCAACACGTTGATGAAAAGAGCGGTTTATTTCTACAATCAAATTATCCCATCAGTATATTAATTGAATGAATATAATATTTAAAATGAGAGCACCAAAAGGCGGTAATATCAACTTAATGCAGATGTAAATGATTTATACTTTATAAAATTTTCTTAACAGTTTAACAGATTTAAATATGAATGTCCAAATTATGTCCTATTCTACGTAGATAGTCTAGTGTTGATCTATTTTCTTAATCTATGACCAGTCTGGTACGTACTGCCACCTTATAATTTCTTTCTAAGTTCTGTTACTGGGTTCCTGCAATAGAATGTTCGAATTTTAATTCATTTAAACTATACCTTCTTCACAGGATCAATAAATTTCTATATACTTATATTTGCGGTACCAAAAAGTTGGCTAAAGCCTCTATATCACCTCTGCACCACATTGTTCGTTTTAGGGAAATCTTCCACAACAGAGGGTAGATCGAACATATTTCACACTATTAAGAATTTTATTCCTCCTTTCAATGCTTGCCTTTCTAAAAAATCATTCAGTTGTCTTATAGAAGAAAGACTATTTAGTCAACAAGAAACTTTACAAATGGTAAAGTATGAGGATTTATGGAGATTGTATTATTTTGACAGTTGAGTTCACCAGTCGATCTAAGCTAGACCACTATGGGTGAAGTGTTGCGCAAGATTATTGATCGATTGAAATTAAACATTAACATCGTTGGATGCTGGCTCAGTGGTTGAGAGGTTAAACGTTCGTGCGCCAGACCTAGGGTCCTGTGTTAGAGTCCCACGTGCGTGGTCATGGGTCACACTGGGGAGTTTCATACTAGAACGAGACGGCCGTCCAGTACTTCCAAGTGTTCCATGGTGGTCTATTTTAGATCAACTCGTGAATTCAACTGTTAACATAGTAAGGTGCAGACTGAACTATATGCAGAGAATGTTTAGATTATGGTTATCTTTTAGGATATAAATCATTTTGGTCATTATTTCAATCGTGTTTGCTATGCTGTACTATACTATGATATAGTGAATGCTTGTCTCTGGATGGTAAGTAACATTATACTACAGAATGTCATACAAACTGCCTTTTTGGGACTCTTCACGGAAGGGGGATGTTTTAGTTATTTCTTGTTTACTGTATAAGCTTGATTTCGTTTCAGGCTAGACATATGTATTCAAATGATTAATATTTTATAATTATCTTCAATGTATAATGTTATTCAATGAATTACTTGCTAAATCAAAGTCTCATTTTTTTATTATATCATCAACTTATATTTAGATTCTTGTCCATTGATTTCTTCTGTAGTCAGCACCCAAGCAACGATAATTGTCTGTCAATTGTGTTACTTTTAAATCAAGCAACTAAAGCATTTTCTCACATTGAGAATTTTATTATTAGAAATTGACAACCAATGACATCTATAAAAGAATAATATTCACTACAGTCACTTCTATTTTATTCATATAAACATTGAAGGAAACTCACTTAAATGAAGTCAGTTTTAGTTATTAAGAAGAAGCGACTTATTGGTTAAATAGCCCAAACGTTTAACCAGTTGGTTTTCAGGCTCGAACTCGGTTCCAACTACTTTGATTTTGGCAGCCAATTAGTATCACTAATCCTTAGATCAAAAATATAGTTGAAACCATAGTTAACTAGCCTGCATTGGGTTAACAATTTACATTAGTTTTTAACTTTTTCTGGATATTTCATAAAAGTTAAACTCACTGAAATCTTACAAGAGAATTCATAAACCAAACGAGTAGGAAATTTGTTGTTGAAAAGTGTACAGTTTGACAAAAGTTTAATAAAAGTGAACATATACTCAGATTTATTATCAACCTTAATCTAGTTTTCGTTATGAGTCGATATCAAGTGGAGAACTACTGAAAATCAGGGGCACTAGATGATCGTTTTGTCCTAGTCCGGGACTCTTCAGTAGTTCATATCTTCCTACCATGGATGAGACATAGATCCTGAGGGCCTCATGACAAGTCTATTATCTCTACATTTTCACTAAATTTTATTACTGAAAAGAGAACTAAGAAATTTATTTTACGGTTAAACAATAAATAATTATTTACAATTCTGAAATCTAAAAATATCTTTTTCTAAAAAAAAAGTTTCTTTTATTTTTAAAGGTTCATTAAATCGTCATAAGAATACGCATACTAAACGTAGCAGTGATAATCGTAGTTATTCATGTCGATTTTGTCCACGTCAATTTTTACATTCTAGTCAATTACAAGATCATGAAACAGTGGAACATAGTATGGAAATGAATATATCAATTTCCAAATCAAATGATACTAAAGTTACTGATTATACTGTAAAATTATCAACATCTTCATTATCAACAATATCAACAGTGGAAACAATAACAACAATGACAGATGGAATAACAGTTGATTGTAATATATTAAAACAAAATCATTTATCAAATCAATTACTTCATAATAAATCAATAAATAATAATACTCTGAAACTTTCATCTTCAGAACATAATATTAATAATAAAAACTTTGACAAAAATAATAATATAGATAATAATGATATAGACAATAATAATTCAGTGTCACTATTAAATTCTACACCAAATTTTTTTGAGTTGGATACAAAACTAGCTACTGTATCCAATAAATTTCCATTTCCCTATGGTTTAAATTTAATGAGTAAATTTTTACCAGTTGGTTTAACTGATGAATTTATTAAATCATTAGATAATAATATAGATGGTTTATTACATCATTTACCAATAACAACAACTAATACAATAACAACATCTTCAACAATTGATGTTACTTCTACTAATACTGTTTCTAATATGAATATTTCAAATATTATTAATCCTATTAATAAAGGAATATTTAAACAGGACTTTTTAGATAATACAAATTTATTTACTTGTACATTATGTTCAACAAATTTATCATCGAAAACTGAATTAGATTTACATTGGGGACAACATTTTATACAACAAATGGGTAAGTATGATTAATTTAATGTTATTCCATATGTATGTATATATACTTACGCCTGTTACTCCTCGTGGAGAAGCATAGACCGCCCATCAGCACTCGCTATCCAACCCTGTCCGTGGCAGTCCTTTCCAGGTCTTTCCAGTTCTTATTCAACCTTTTCACATCTGCTTCTATTTCCCAAAGTAATGTGTTCTTTGGCCTACCACTTTTCCGCTTACCTTCAGGATTCCAAGTTAGGGCTTGCCTTGCGATGCAGTTTAGTGATTTGCGTAATGTATGCCCTATCCATTTCCATCGTGTTTCCCTAATTTTCTCTTCAAATGGAAGCTGGTTTGTTCTCTCCCACAGAAGGCTGTTGCTGATGGTATCCGGCCAATGGATGTTGAGTATCATGCGTAGACAGCTATTGATAAATACTTGTGCCTTCTTGATGGTAGTTGTTGTAGTTCTCCAAGTTTCAACTGCATGCAGTAGAACTGTGTTGACGTTCGTATTGAAGATTGTGACTTTGATATTGGTTGAAAGTTGTTTTGAGTTCCATATATATATAGCACTTCACTTGTACCTGAAATTTGTGCTGATAATGTCGTTCAAAAGAACGATGAAAGCTCCACGACTAAACCATCCAGCTCGGAGAATAAAACTCTATCAAAATATATTCAGAAAGTTAAGATACTTTCAGACTCTTATTGTTGATTTATTTTATCAATTTAGTAAACATTTTAAAGGAGTTTAAAATTACTAAAATTGAAAATAATCAGGAAGAAGAGTGTTCCATTTGTAATTGAGTAGTTACATTCTTGCCTTTTAAAAGAGACCAGAATGGTCATTCAAGCGAATGCACCAGTCTACTTTACTTCATTTCTTTTCAATACATCCTAGAAATTAACCATTGAAAAAACTAATGATATATAGCATCACAATAAGTTGGCCAATGCTTTAAGCAATGTAATGAATACAGTTTATTTAGTACCTCATTAAACTTTATTATAGGGAAATAGATAGTACCACTAGCTAGCGCTCAAAATCGACCATAAAAATGAAAACAAGACAATATTTATTTTAATGAATCACATTAGCGTAAACTTTTAGGCATGTTAATTAATTTTCTGGAAATATTAACATCTGTATATGAATCACAAAAGCTCATGCAATATATTCCATCGTATTTCACTTATGATACTGGTATGATATTCAGAATGTTTATCAAAAAGTTTGTATCATATTCTGTAGCGCCTTCTCTACTTATTTACAACTATGATGAAATGATCTAACAAAGACGTAACGTCAATCTATAAAAATATTAATTATTCACATGCATGGAAAAAAAGGATTTAGGCTTCTTGTGTACTATCCTTAAGGTGTTATAAATAAATTATTAAAGATTCTGATCAGTATGAACCAAGATTCATAACAATTGAGAGGAATTAATTATTTTTACTGTTTTCGTGTTTTTATTTTTGCTACTTTCCGATTGTACGTTTCATGCTGATGAGAAATTGAGTCGCTTCAACCAATGATTCATTGTAGTAGATTCTCTGTATTTGTATTCGTTTATCTGTGTGCATAATATAACCTAGGTATAATTAAGGTTTCTTTTATCTACTTCTAATATAATCAATATAAAATATAAAAAATAATTAGTTGTGCATCTACAAAACAATGTGTTTACACATAGTCGTCACTACTTATTCATCAAATATACCTGAAGTGATAAACATACATTTTAACTGGGTATCCTACAGTTCAAACAGAAATTCTAGGTGAATCTATATTTTAATTATGTATTAACCATTCAATCTCTATAGTCACAGATTCAAATGTTTCTTTACTCACTAAGATTTCAGCACTTGGACAGTATTATGAATGATTATAGATTTAGGACTGTTTTACAATGTTTAATGAGCTCAATTTTTGAACTGAGATCTGAAAATCAGTTACAATTCACAACTATATATGTACTATTAATTTTGTTTAAAAATATATGTTAACATAAGATCTTGATTACAACTATTATTCACGATAGATATAACTCGATCTTATTCTTAATATCAAGTTTTTTAAAATACTGTGATGTTGGTATTTTTATTAACAAAAGTACGTTTCAATGGCTAAGATCATGAGCCAATTGAAGCGAGACCACTATGGAAAACCTGGAAGCACTAGACGGCCGTTTCGTCTCATTGTGGGACTCCTCAGCAGTGCGCATCCACGACCTCGTCCCCTCACAGATTCGAACCCAGGACCTACTGGTTTCGCGCGCGGGCAGTTAACCTCTAAACCACTGAGCCAACCGGCATCCAACGGTGTTAATGTCTAACTTCAACTAATCCACGAAATTGAGCGACATGTCCACCATTGTCATCGGTGAGTTACTATCTCACAACAGACCTGGTTGAACTCCATTGGTCACTGCTTCTCACTTGAACTCCAGGATACACCTCTTGAAGCCAGTCACTAGTGAGCATATGTTGATTAATATCAGATGGGTTTTGTAGATATTATAGTAATTTCAATGGTACATTTGCAGATCGTTTTTCGTTCAAACAAAATTTAATTGTTTAAAATAATGAAACCAGAATAAATATTGTTACTCAACGTTGTGACACAAATATAATTAATTACAATTAAAAGTGCAAGTAACCATGTCATAATTTACAGTAATTCATCGTAGAAATGTACTTTGAATATTGTTATATATTAAATGTAAAATTGTGTACTTTTCTATACTAAGGCTATATGTCAGAATAAATCATGGCATTCTTTTTGAATCATTAGACGTACTTCATGTTAGTTTATGCTTTTGAAGTGATATTGTGGTTAATAACTATTAACCCTTTAATAAATACCTGTTACTGAAAGCTGAATACATGAAACTATAGTTGGTCAATTAGTAAGAGTAATATTAGGATTTGACTATAAGGTTCTGAAATCGATACCTAAAATATGTAAACTATATCAAACCACTATTTATAAAAAAATATCATGTTATTTGGTATATGGATGGGAAAGACATGGCATGGTATCAATTAATGAAAGCAGTGTTGATATAGGACTTCTGAGAAAGTGAGGGTCTCACTGACTTGAGCTCTCAGTTATTGAAAAATGTTAACTGCTAACCCTAAATAATACGTCTTTTAACCGAACACAATAGTACAAGTGTATTTATTTTGTATTCCCCAATAACTTTTTACATCACCCTATTACTGCATATCTATAAATTTCTTGTTCATCAAAAGCATTCGCTTTAATGTTGTTTCTTCATTGTTTAAAAGTATACTGCTAATGAACAATGTGTCAGTTTGATTCAATTTATAATTTTATGGTTTGTTCGTGTACTAAGAATAGTAGTCGTCTCGCAGTTAAACATTACAATCTAGTGTAAGGTTACAACCGATTGAATACCTCGCCGACTACCTTTATAGATCTCAGTCAATGTAATACAGTCAATGTAATTCATTAAAATACAACCAGGCATTATAGTCGTTTATGATAGATCAGGTAGCTTTCTTTCTGTACCGAAATTCGTTCCCGTTTTAATAATATTGTACGCAGTTCATTTATAATATATTGAAATAACTTCGTTTACCTCGTAGATATAACACATGTGGTAAAATGTATTGCTCTTTCAACTGTATATATTTCTTTAGTTAATGTTTATGCTCAATAGTCTAAGTATCAGATCTTTAGTCGACCATGCAGAAGTTCACAGCCTGTCACATCACATTTAATTGGTATGATAAGTCACTACATGTAAGTAATCCAAAGCCCAGTTGACAAAACAGTACTTGACAACTAAGTTTGACTTTATAAAATATTCATCTTTTGACTAGTTAAATTATTGAAATGAAATATATCACCACATCTATTTTCTTAAAATTTAGCTGAAAAATTTATTCTATTTGAATGTCAACATAAATTTGATATACACGAGTTACTTGTATCAAGATATTTGAATTTTAAAGAAAAAATTGAGGCGAACAAAATGTATTTCCTCTGAAATCCACTACTAATTTACGTATAATTCCACCAGAAGCATATCTAACCATTGATCCTATATTTAAATTAAGAAAAGAATTGCTAATTATAACTTTATACCCTAAACAAAAATGACTTTTATGGGTAACAGTATATAAATTACTATATTTCCAATTCGACATCATATAGATCTACTTTTTGTATTCAATCGAATCACATATCATCATGGTTAGAAATAAAAGTAAGGAATGAAACTAAAAATGATTTTAAAAATTAAATGGAAACCCGATTTCTGTTAGTTGTAATGAATCATATAAATGAAAAGAAAGACATGTGTATTAAGAATCCCGATTTCGGTATTGGTTGACAGTTGTTTTGAGTTGCAGGTGTTTTTCAGTTGTAGGAATTCTGCCCTTGCTTTACCAGATTTTGCTTTCACATCTAGGTTAGATCCTCTTTGTTTATCGATAATGCTGGCCAGGTATGTAAAGGCTTCAACCCATTCCAGAACTTCTCCATCAAATGTGATTTGGTTGGTGTTCTTGATGTAGCATTCCACGATTCAAATTCTCCCTTTGTAAATGGTGAGGCCTATTGCTTTGGAGGGTACTATTACACCGGCTTTCTTCACATGCATTTGTTGTTGTCTTTAGTATAGAAAGGCTATATCATCTGAGAAGTCCAAATAGTCTAGTCGCATCCAAGTTTTCCATTGTATTTCATGCCTCCCGTGAGATAGGGAGGTCATCATAGTCCAGTCAATCACAAACTATGGAAACCAGCACTATATCTAAATTATTCATTATTTCCTTTCTATCGCATTCAGTATTCTAACATGAGACAGTTTGTTTTACCATAGTCTAGTTTCCGATGGTTTCCGAGTATGGAACATATGCTTTTACATCATTCTTATTATTTTTTGTTATTAATATCAAGTCAAAATATAAAAAACTGTAAGAAAATATCAATGTGTACACTAGGAAAATTGATTGGGATCACTATCATTATCGTTATCATCACCCCATCCATATTAATAACATGTCCGTATATTCTTTTATTAAAAATAAAAGGTGAGCATTAAATTTTGTTCCTTCTTCTGATTCTTCTTCTTTATGGGTCAAATAAGGTCAATTTGTAAGAAAATAATTTTTGAGAAAGTGGTGGTGACAGATTTCAGTAGATAGAGTGGGGGGAAGTAAAAGAATCAAATGTTATAAAAGAAGAAATAAAAAAGCATGAAAATAAAATGAGAAAATATTAAAGTTAGTCAATCAGCACTAAGTAATTATCTTCGTCTTCCTCTCTATCACCTAATGTGTATCAATCTATATAATTCTCCTTTTATCATGGATACTTAGTCAGTTTTAATGATTGTACGAAATTATCCTTTTTTAAATTCTTTTAATAATTAGTTTGCCATTCCTGTCATGATCAGTTTATTTGTGTTGAAATAAAAAAGGTGGTAGGAAAGATTACGCAAACGTTTCAAGTCAGTTTACTTTGTCTCTCTTGTTTTTCATTTGTGCATCTACATATGTATTTGTTTGTTTGTGAAGCCAAACGTTTTTACGATCCACATTACAAAATGTGTCTTTGGTGTAACCTCACTATTACTAACAAAGGAAATGAGCATATGTGTACTATTCGTTGAATTGGAATAGACTGCATCAAGAATTTATGTCAGTTGAAATTTGTATTTATTGAAACCATGATGATTGATTACGAATAAAATTAGTTTAATAATTGAAAAACAAAGTTTCTATATCATTGAACGTTGAGATGATATCTATCAATAGAACTTTATTAAAAGTATGATAGTTCTCAAATGAGGAGTATTAGTTGTATTGTATTAAAGATAACTCTTATCATAAACCGATATCTGCTTTTGACGTCTGTTTAGTATTGTATAGGATTTGTTAGATTTACACCAATATAACCTCATATGAGAACACACCGAAAACATTCAGGACATAAACGAAACACTTAAACTACTGAATCATTGTCCAGAGATACATATTTTCATTATCAATCAATTTGTAGTGAAGTCCAATCCTCAGCCGGTTAGTAGGTGCATCACTTTGACAAATTTAAGCTTTCTGGTGAAAACTCGAAAAAAATGTTGAATCTTAATTAATTAATTTATTTTAACTCATAGATATTGATACAAGGAGGCACCAAATATATATGCGCCACACAGATCTCATTTGATATGTGTGAGGGCTGTGATACTGCCCGGGTGCCCAAACCGAAGCAGGTGGTTTTCTTAGGGGACCACACCCCAAGCCTTCGACCTGAAGATCTAATCTACGAGGCAGTGGAGCATCTTGAGGAGATACAGTCCCATGGAAACCGGTGACCAAGAAATTGGTTCATACGCCATTTGTTCCTTCAGGATACTGGAGCCCATGTGCACCAATTGTTTGGGATCCGGTTAAATCGCCGGACATTCGCTTTTCGTCCTCTCATTTTCGTAAACAACAGCCCGCCACGAGAAGGCAGTGAGTAGGACTTCCCTGGCAGAGGCAATATACGCGTGGTCATGTGAGAGCATTTCGAGAGGGAGAGCGGACTCTCCCCACTCTTGGCCTTACCAGGGCATTTGGGGGCTGAATCTTAATACTAACTATTACATAGTTATTATTCCATAGCGTGGTCCAGTGACATCCATACAGCTTTATGTATGTGTTCATAAGAAAAAAGAATGCTGTATTTAACCGTGTTGCTGAAAGCCTTCCCATCTTATAAGCTTTTTCAAGCTTCTTTGGAGAGCATCAGTGAAACTACTTATGTGTGTGAGCCACACTCTTCTTCGTGATCAGAATACCACACAACGTCTTTCAAATCTAGTCCTTGATTACCAGCTTACGTCCAATGGGTTTCATTTATTCTAAGCAGAGCGAAATTGTATTTCTTCGTTCCCGCAGCTATTTGTATGCCCCTCTCAGTCTCCCATATTGTGTGAGCATTCAATGTGTATATGTTAATTGTTGCCCCGATTGTCAGAAGGACCGCTGACTTTGTGACTTCCGAAGAATCTTGACTTTCATCATGAGGTGTCATAAGTGTTCCGTATGAAGAACGTTCAACTCCCAGAGCAGAGTTAATATGGTCTAAATGATCTTTTTGGTCTAGAGTTTGTTTAACAATGTTCAATATACTTCCGCTGTTTGTTATTGTATCCCTTGAATAATCTATTAGTGACATTTCAGTCAAAGTACTCGTTTGGAAACTTTAAATTTTCAAAGTTTTACAGTGAATAATCAAGCTTTCTTGTAGATTATTCAAAGTAAACTGTATTTTATTGTAGTCAATTACTCGGGGATGTTTTATCTAATTTGCATGAATTTTTCCAATATTCCACCGTTATCTACTCAAGTTAGATGAGATTAAAAGTGATATTTTAATTGATATCTCGAATCGACCAATGTTAGACCACCATTGAAAACCTGGGAGTACTGGACAGTCATTTCGTCCTCAGTAGTGTGCATCTGCGATCGCGCACGTGGGTTTCGAAGCCAGGAGCTTTGGCCTCGTGCGTGAATACTTAACATTTGAACCGCTGAGCCGGCATCCAGTGGTGTTAGTGTCTAACTATAACCAAACGGCCGTCTAGTGTTTCCAGGTTTTTAATGGTGGTCTAACATTAGTCGATTCATGATCTCAATCAAAGACTCAATCTCCACAACAATCCAAGTTGAACAGCACTAAAGAAAAATAAAATTCATCCTAATATGAGTTACTTGTGAAAAACATATTTTAATATGTCAAATTGATGGTTAAAAAAAGCTCAATTTTTTCTGATTTATATCTCCCATTATTTCAAAATGGAAATATTTAATGTTGTCGAATGTAACCAATGTGTTGCTCTAATCCTATATGCAGATCGTAGTTCGTTAACGAATGACTACTATTTGACTTCTATCTGATATAAGACTGTAATCAAATATGTTAGACGTCATCATACATTAATTTAGAGAACTAGATTTTGTTAACCGTTTTAAATCTCTTAGTTCCAACCTTTAAAGTAATTTTTCAAGTATTACACTTTGTACATATCACTGTGGGAGTTAGAAAAGTTATCGATTATCGAAATAATCTGATAATTTTCATTGTGGTATTTTTGACTTGAGCATTAATACATATAATCGACAAGTTAGTATACACAGCTTAGGCTTGTAGCTTTTGTTGAAATGATTTTAAATAATAATTTAAACTGACCTCTTTCCTGTGTATACCATTGTTATGGTTAATGTTCTTTTTATACCAACAGAAGCTCAACTTGGTCCAATATCAAACAGTTTAATACCATCATCTTCACTTTCAAATCCACTTAATCCGATTCATCTCAATCCGAATACATCTTTCAATGATATTAATTCCAAGTTACCTCATTCATTTACATCGTCTACACAAAATACGTTAAAATCAATGGAACAAACAGATTTAAGTAAAATTCTACCTGAAAATTCAAATACAACATATCCATTTGATAATTGTTTATCAACTACATCTATAGATAATATTTCATTATTGAATTCAACTAATATGAATTCAGCGGCTACTGCTGCTGCTGCTGCCGCTTCTGCAGCTATGGTAACGGCATTAAGTCAATTTTTATTAGGCAATGCACCTGGTCAATCATTACCGAACCCATCATTGTTGGCTGCAACAGCTGCACTGACTAATCCTGAATTATTGAATACTCTTATGAATACACTGCCACCTACCATTACTACTACTAATACTAATACTACTACTACTACCAACACTACTATTGATACTAATACGACTAATAAAAGTGATAACAGTAACACACCAACTATTCAAAGCAGCATAAACGAACTTAATCCTAATCATTTTAATAAACTACTGAATAGTTTGACCAATGTACATAACCATCTAAATTTTCCACGTAGCGTAGGACTTTCAAATGATATCGCCCAAAAATTACTTGATATCGATACTAATTCATTTGGACTAAAAGATCATGCCTTGAATTTTATTATCAACAAAGCATGTAATATATCACCTGATTCATTGACTAAATCTCCAACATCTTCCTCGCCGTCATTGTCATCATCAATTTCACCACCAGCTATTATAACAACAACAATCGGGACAACAACTATGACAACATCAATTAGTCAAAATTATTCTACGTTGAATCACTTAAATCAAAAAACTCCTTCATCACTATCTACACATTCAATATGGCCGTGTAATTTAGAATTAGATTTTACAAATCGTTCCATTATTAATCCATTACAATCGAATTGTGCATTGAATCAATTATTTACTGAATTAGATACAAATCTATCAATGAATATGACAACATCAGCAAATTCATTTGATCAACAAATGTTATCTACAATTAATTTATCAACTTGTAAAAATAATAGTTATATCACAGAGAATTCATCTAAACTAAATAATTCACGTCATTTAAGTGTTGACAGCGAAAATTATTCCAGTGATCTTGAAGGCGGCGGCGATGGTGGTGGTGGTGTTGGAGAAGGTGTAGGTGGTGTTGGCGGAGGAAATTTAACTGATTCCACATTAAGTGGAAGTTTCAATACATCAAAAAGAAAACGTTCTAATTCACCGAATAACTCAATTGATAACAGTAAATCACGTAAATGTAATTTTTGTAATAAACAGTTTAATTGTACAAGTGCCTTGAGAATACATTATAGAAAACATTCAGGTAAGTGTTGTTTTTTCAATGATCTATATGAATGTGTTCACGTGAATCTTTATAAACTACATTTAATTGTTTATTTTGATATTTTAGATTGTTTCAAAGCTGAGTTCACAAGTGTATTTGGTTATTAAAATGAATTATCCCTATATTTTCAACATATATTAATTTGTAATTTTTTATCAAATTTTTTTTATTATGGGCTGTGATATCAACTACAAAACTATTAGAACTAGTGAGCAATAGATTGTTTTTTTACTGTCTAGTTACGAACTCCTAGTTAATGGTTAAGATATTCAAGTTTCAGTCACTGAGTATATATATATATATATATATATATATATATATATATATATATATATATATATATATATATATATATATATACTACGAATAATAATTTTCTCAGTTTAATTCACGAGTTAATCTTATTTTGACCACCATTGAAAGATCAGAAACACTGGATATCTGTTTGGTCCCAGTATGGGAAACTTCAGAAATGCATGTTCGTATCCCCTTATATTCCTTGGGTTTTGTGTACGAATGACTAATCTTTAGACCACTAAGTCGGTATTCAACTATTTTAATTTTCAAAATCGATTTATTCGAGATTTAGTACTACTCTCGTCCATTGTCTGCTAATAGTAATTTTCACGTTACAGGGAATTTGGTTAACTTTAAAATGCTCATTATCTAACGATACAGATCACTGATTTAGTCAAAACACATCACCCAACTTAGATTTGCAAAGCCAGATGGTAGTATTATCTCATACATCGCTAAATTATAACTCAGTATAATTATTAACCATACATAATAGATAATTTGAATTAATTGTTAATTTTTGTTTAAGGATTATTTAAAATTAGTAGCTTTTAGTTTACAAACAATCCCTATAAGTGGTTTATATTTGAAAAGCTTTTTGAATTGCTATACTGGTTACAATGAAATAATCATATGCACTATATTAATACTGTGTACATACTGATTTATTTTCTATCATCACTGACAACCACTCTGATAATCTATTGGTAGCTGCATTTGTTTTCTTAGTGTATGGTATTTTGAACGTTGTCGATTTTCATATTTTACATAACGAATTGATTTAAGTTAGACAAGCGTTGAAAACTAAAAAGCATTAAACAGTTGTTTTATCTTAGTATGAGATTTCTCAGTAGTGTACACAACCATACAGTTGGGGTCGAACTCAGGACCGAGTCTTACGACAAACACTTAAGCTTTAGATTGCTGAGTCACTGTTCATTGATTTATATGTCTAACTTAAATCCATTCTCGATATCGATCGTCAGTGATAATAGTTGTTTCACTGCCGACAAGGCTGTGCTTCACTCGTCAGGACTTCTGGTTAGAACTTACTTTTCACTTCTTTTTACTTAAATTTCTAGACAATTTTACTGTGCTTTTTGTAAGAATATTTAATATATATGAACAAAATTTTATCATTTTTTCATCTGAAAACATTGGTGTAATTACTCGAATTGCTTTTATATGCTACGTTTCTTAAAAAATATTGAAATACAAAGAAGGGGAGATTAATCTGACTTAATTCAGTTGACATCCGGAGGTCATTTTTACCCTGTAACGATATATAAATGTCTAAGCTTGTATATATGTAATACGTTGATTATTGTTACTATTATTATTATCATCATCATTATTATTATATCTTATCTTTGGGGTCAACATATCAATTTTGTGTATAATTACTCCCTTTACCAGTTGGTATTTGGAAGTATGTATGTTTGCTTATTTCGTTGTATGTATTTATCTACAGTTCAAATATGAATGATAACATTAATTTTTCTATCTCTTATCATCATTATTTTTTGCTTGTGTGAATTGCAATCTTTCTCCTACTCAAACGATTACAGCAAATATCATTTTAAGTTGAAATTGAGTCCGGAAATCGAATTCACTCAACACACCGTTATAAGAATGTAATTATTACCAGCATACTTATGTATGGATGTATATGCATGCATATATATTAATCCCTTATGTATATATTCATATATATAAACGTGTGAAAAGGTTAATAATTGAAATTGAAATTAAAAATTGGTCATTTACTTAAAATTGGTGTAAATTACAGACAGAAATGTTATATGATGTGATGTGTGTGTATGTATTTATATGTATACGTGTACACACATCTATCTATACATTAATGTACATGTAATACAATGAAGAACAGTTTTAGATATCCTGTCATCATCATCATCGTCATCAATATAATGATTTTCACTTTTGTCTTGATTAAAATACATGAAAAGTTTCTTTCATCAACAACAACAACGATATGAAAAAAATAAATAAGTATAAAAGGTTGTTTTTGTATTAAAAAAACGATGTATACCACCATTCAGGAAATGAAAGTGTGAACTCAATTAGATTAAAAGCTCTAATTATATTGACAGTTTTTATCAAGAGAATTGATGTTAACAATGTGTATAAGTAAGTAAGTAAGTAAGTGAGTGAGTGAGTGAGTGAGTGAGTGAGTGAGTGAGTGAGTGAGTGAGTAACTGAATGAATGAAGGAGTGAAGAAGTGAATGAGGATGAAATAATTTGAAGGAATGACACTCTTTTTAAGTGTAAATATGTGAATGAATTAATCTCAAGTTCACTTAATCACTATGTTTATTTCATCATCTCTATATAATTATTAAATTAAAGAATTATCATTAATTTAATGTAACACAAAATGAATTTATAATAGTTTACCTGATTTAAATAATACTTAACCATTAACGATTATAAAACATCAGTAGAAGGGAAAGTTTATTATTTTAAATTTCACAATAGTGATTACATTTAATGTTATGGATAGTTAAAAAAAAAGGAATAAATAAAAAAAGAAAGAAAAAATTCCATTTCTACTTAATTTGAATCATTTAATGACTTAATACTTTATATATTGATGTAAAATTTCTTCATAACTAACATCATTATAATTCCTGTATGTTGTAATCAATTAGTTGATAATAATTAAAATAATTTCAATAATTGAGATCATGATCTAGCTTCAGTTAATTCATGATCTCAACTATTGAAATCACTATAATATGTATAAAATCCCTTTTGAAATTAAAATAATCTTTGCATTGAATGATTTACATAAATCCCCAAATAATAATCATATCTTTAATAGTAATTAGTTTTGTAATGAATTCTCAAGATTCTAATCAAAAGTTATAATGTGTAGAGATCAACTGTGATATGAAATGAGATCAATATTGTCAGTAACAATAATAATTAATAATTACTATGTATCATGAATTAATATTGACTATACAAAGAAATTGTTCATTAACTTACTTACTTACGCCTGTTACTCCCAATGCAGCATAGGCCGCCGACCAGCATTCTCCAACCCACTCAGTCCTGGGCCTTCTTTTCTAGTTCCATCCAATTCTTGTTCATTTTTCTAATGTCTGTCTCCATTTCCCGACGTAATGTATTCTTTGGTCTTCCTCCTCTCCTCATTTGGCCTTGAGGATTCCATGAGATGGCTTGTCTTGTGACACAGTTCGGTGCTTTCCTCTATGTTTGTCCTATCCACTTCAAGAGCTTCTTCCTGATTTCTTCCTCCACTGGGATCTGGTTTGTTCTTTCCCACAGTAGATTGTTGCTGATAGTGTCCGGCCAACGAATCCGACGTATTTTGCGTAGACAACTGTTAATAAACACCTGTGTCTTCTGGATGATGGATTTCGTGGTATTCCAGGTTTCCGCCCCATACAGTAGAACTGTCTTCACATTTGTATTGAAAATTCTGACCTTGGTGTTGGTTGACAGACAGTTATTTTGAGTTCCAGATATTCTTCAGTTGTAAATATGTTGCTCTTGCTTTGCCAATCCGTGCCTTCATATCTGCATCAGATCCACCGTGTTCATCAATGATACTGCCCAAATATGTAAAGGTTTTTACATCTTCCAAATTTTCTCCGTCAATTGTGATTGGATTGGTGCATGCTGTGTTGTATAGGAGAATCTTGCTTTTCCCTTTGTGTATATTGAGACCTACGTTGATTAACTCGATGAATTTAAAAAAGATTATGTTCACTTGTAAATTAGAAATGTCATTATTTTTAAAAAAATATTTCTAAGCAAATCAATCAATTGTTTGGTTCTACAAAGAGTAAATCTTACTTCCTTTATCATCTTTACTAACTTATTTAATGTTAGTTTCAAATAATAAAAAAACCGGGTTAGAAATTTTTTCAAGAAGTGAATATATCATAAAGTTTGAAAATCTATTTTATTATTATTGTTATTATTACTAATTGCTTTATTCAATATTATGTTTTTGGTACAATATATAATTCTTAGTACAAAATATTTCAACAAGTTTCTTTCTCTAAGTTCTTGATCAATTCTGATGATAAATATTGAATAATCGCCAGTTAGATGTTAGCAGTTCAGGAATCGACACTTGAATAAGGTTCATTCTTTTCAATGTATATTGTCAGTCAACATGATGTTTGTGAGTGTACTTTTCTGTAACTTGTACATTGAAAGGTTATCAACTTTTCATAAACGCGCCTGAATAGGTTATGTGATTAATAGACATTATGATGTGTTAAAATAAAATAAAAAGAAATAACTTGTTGAAATGTCTAGATGACAGGGATAGGTATCAGAAATATCCAAGAAAGCCACCACAAAGTCTGCTCTATACAATTTTAGCGTCTTCTAATTTCTTCAACTGGAAGCTGGTTTGTTCTCTGCCACAGTAGGTTGTTACGTATGGTTTCCATCCAAATATATTGAGTTCCTTGGGTAGATAGTTGTTTACAGATACTTGTATCTTTTTGACGTTGAATGTGGTAGGTTTCGAAGTTTCAGCTCCGTTTTTTCAGCACCCCATAACTTGAATATTGTTTAATGGATTTTATGAAACCATCATATATAATTAAATACAACTATTGGTGACTTTTTCAAAGATTTTGCAATACGTTTCAACTAAAAAAGGGTATTTATCTCG